TCTCAGGGTTTATGTCCCTTGGAGCAGTCTCAGGGTTTAAGTCCCTTGGAGCAGTCTCAGGGTTTATGTCCCTTGGAGCAGTCTCAGGGGTTAAGTCCCTTGGAGCAGTCTCAGGGTTTAAGTCCCTTGGAGCAGTCTCAGGGTTTAAGTCCCTTGGAGCAGTCTCAGGGTTTATGTCCCTTGGAGCAGTCTCAGGGTTTATGTCCCTTGGAGCAGTCTCAGGGTTTAAGTCCCTTGGAGCAGTCTCAGGGTTTATGTCCCTTGGAGCAGTCTCAGGGTTTAAGTCCCTTGGAGCAGTCTCAGGGTTTAAGTCCCTTGGAGCAGTCTCAGGGTTTAAGTCCCTTGGAGCAGTCTCAGGGTTTATGTCCCTTGGAGCAGTCTCAGGGTTTATGTCCCTTGGAGCAGTCTCAGGGTTTATGTCCCTTGGAGCAGTCTCAGGGTTTAAGTCCCTTGGAGCAGTCTCAGGGTTTATGTCCCTTGGAGCAGTCTCAGGGTTTAAGTCCCTTGGAGCAGTCTCAGGGTTTATGTCCCTTGGAGCAGTCTCAGGGTTTAAGTCCCTTGGAGCAGTCTCAGGGTTTATGTCCCTTGGAGCAGTCTCAGGGTTTAAGTCCCTTGGAGACACACAGTCTCAGGGTTTGAGTCCCTTGGAGCAGGATCCTTAGTGAAACCATGGTGTAAAAATTAAAAGCAATAATAAAAAGGGAAACTAAGAGTGCCTTTTGTTACAAGTGTGGAAAGTGATCACTTCTAGACTTGGATGACAAAAGTATAAAGAACAACATCAGTAATATTTGCTTAACAAAGTAATCTTGAAAGTTCTTCTTCTGTATCTTTCTGCCTGTGTGTGTGCGTCGCTCTATCTTGCTGCCGTTGTCAGGGGAAACGGCCCCCTCCTTCGCTGCTCTGGCTCTGAATCAGAGCTACTGCTTTTAGGATTTTGGCTTTTCATAGTTGTTATTCCATTAAATTTGCCAAATTTGCAATTGAACAGGGCGACAGTAGCTCAGTTGGTAGAGCATTGGCCTTAAGGCCAGAAGGTCGTGGGTTCAATTCCCACCTCTACACCTTCTCCACCGACTCCCACTGATGACTCCTGTCGTTGTGTCCTTGGGCAAGACACTTAACCCCACTTTGCCCAAAGCCCCCACTGAAAGATCAAGGCTATGCTCACACTCAGAGAGCAGCCGTCCTCCTGTGGACTCACCACCTGCAGAGGGTCAGTGAGGGGCTGGTGCTATGAGACTTGGGTGGCATCTCTGATTGCCACCCTCCTGACCCAGAAATGGATTAAAGGGTAGAAAATGGATGGATGGATGGATGCAATTGAACATTGTGTTATGACACAGTTAAACGTTTTTAAACACCATTAGTGAATAAGTTTTGAATATTATATGTTTTTTGAAACCCAAATATTAGTGCTAAAGCTGTGCAATTCTTTTTAGACCTAACATATTTCTAGATTCCATTCTTTTAAATCTGCTGCTTATTTCTTAACTGTTTGTGAGTTGTGTTTGTTTTCATGTTTTTTATTTTAGTTACAAAAACCGTTTTTCAAACATTTAAATTAGAATCTGTGTTAAAAGTGATTATTGATCATAGACTTTGTCTAAAAAGAAAGAGGGAATTAGGATTAGCTGTAAAAGAATTATATTATTAACTTGAACACTACCCAATTCACCCAATTCACATTGCAAGTGGTGACTTTTGTTTTTGTTTTGACTACACGCGTGACCTTGCTCCTGCTCCTGTTGCTGCTGCCCAGAGACAGGAGGAGGCAGCTCCGACGCACAATTGAGTTTTATTTAAACCAAATCCAGTTTAGCTGGAGTTATAATCTTTTGTTTGATTTCAAGTTTTGTTTTAATGTTTTTACAAATTAATGTTCATTTTTATAGAGATTTTTCATAATTTCATTTCATGGCGTCTTTCAAGAAACCCAATAACGCATAGATAATTAAACACACAGTACAAAAGTACATAATACACATTTTTTAAAGTTTAAAAGGTTGTTTGTTTTGAGTATAATTGTTGTTTTTATAACTTCTTTAGTTTCTGGTCTTAAAAATGTCATTATTAGTAAGATAGTAAGTAATCTTTTATTTACATAGCGCATGTGGGAAAGCCAAGAGTGCTCCAAAATTGTTTAGACTTTAGAGAGAAAAACAATCTCATTCACATACTGATATCTGTTGTTTTTAAAAACCCCAAAATTCACACCACACATACACATACATTCATACACTCACACATTCACATTTACATATAGATACATGAAAAAGCAGAACATGAGAAAAAAGCATTTTAAAAGTTTACTCCAATGTAAACACATATTTTTAATTGTCTATCCCTTGAATCAGTATTTTTTGAGACCAGAAATGTTCATTTGAATTCAATATTGTCATGGACTTAATTGGCGTCTGTCCTGACACTTTTGATTTGTTGATTTTGTACTGTGTGAAGTAATTACATTGATTAGGATTAGAATCAAAGTGACTTAACCATAGAGAGTAACTATTGCATAACAAGCTGTGTACAGGAACTGTGACACTGCACCACCATTGACCAGAAGTGCATCGCAAAGAGCAACCCAAGTGAAAAGACTGTATCTGGAGATCCTGATGTCCAACTGGAGAGACCCAAACCATGGCTTGGACCCTACTGATGTCCAAGATGACATCTCTCGAAATATGACCTGACCTGATGACGACTGAGACTCACCCTCAGGGGACCCTGAGGACCTGAGGACCCTGAGGATCTGAGAGAGAAAAACCTGGGGAGTGATGTTTATATTTTTAAAATCATACATTGATGAGTGCTAAATGAGAGAGATACTCATGATTCTTCTTTTGTTTTTGTTTGTCCCTAGCTTCTGGACATCTGATGATCTATTGGACACAGCCATTTGCAGAACAAGAACCAGCCAATGAAAATCGTCTATTGCCGATGCTATTGCTACAACCAGAACCACAACTGTGACCAAATGCAATATACATGTTAAGTATTCAGACATCTGACAGACAAAAACTTTGAAAATGATAAAGTATGAGTATTGTAGCGTTTTAGTAGATGTTAAAAGTGACAGAAGTCACAAACTAGAAATATGCCTTGCCTCAAGCTGCAACCAAGCTTTAGAGTCACAATAGAGATAGATAAAAGCATCAACCATAAAATAGAGATTATTTGTAGCCAGTGCTAATATCAAACGGTAAAAGGAGCATTTCCTTCAAAATATGATCATAAGCATTTACTTCAAAAGTAGATACTTACTTACAGTTTTATGTACAGTTTTATTAGATACCTGCCAAATTCACTTGTGTTCAAACATTGGTGAATGTTGACAATGCAAAAAGTTAATGAGTGTAGCCTAGATTAAAGTATCTTAGATCAGTGTCTCCCAAAGTGGGGTCCGCGGCCCCCTGGTGGGCCGCGAGGGTACTGCAGGGGGGCCGCGGGAGGTCATAAAAAAAATATTATTAACATTAACATTTAACATGTGTTCATTATTTGACTTGAATAATCCACTGTAATCATTTTTGTATTACAATGTTTGTAGCAGAGGCTAAAATAAAATAAACAGAAGAGCCTATTCTTAATGTTGTCTTCTTGGTTATTATTTTGGGGGGCCACGCAGACCCGTCAGATTTTTAAGGGGGCCTCGGTGTTACTGAGTTTGGGAATGGCTGTCTTAGATTAATGAGATAGATTACAACCAACAGAGATTCAAAAGCATCTTTGAGAAATTAAAAGTTGTTGATTTGCCAGCACAGATTAGAGAATCAAACACCATTGTAGACCCCAAACCCAAACCTGCTAAAATAGATTAGCTCTTGTAAGGATAATACTAATTTGATTAATGATGTACATTCATCCCAAATGCCTGAAAATAATATCTTTAGATAATAAAAAGTAATAAATCACTGACCACTATAGAAGTGTAAATGTTAACCATTTGTCTTACTGTGTTCAGTTTTATTCCTGAGAATGTAGAATAGACAGAGCAAAATCCCACTGACACAAAGCCACTGATAATGAGAGTGTAATACCACAGAGAGATTTATTAGATTAAAATGTATGTTTAAGAATATGGCTCGATAGAAGCAAATATGCAAACATATTTGTAAATAGATTAGAATGTACACAGTCTAAGATTAAATAGTGAAAATAATACAGTGAATTAAGTGAAGTGTAGTACAATCAATTAGCATTAGAATAAAAGTATAGAGTAATAAAAGTGAAATTAGCTTCTAATTTGAGACTCAGCTCGTTTTTGTCTGTGTTTTGACTGAATCTGCTGAGTTCTTGTGTGTCCAATAGTGTAGTGTTTGTTTTTATTTTTGTTTATTTATTTACTTTATTTTTGTTTGTTTTTTTCCCCAGGATAGAGGATAAAATCCACTGATATTGATTTGATGATTATTAGTTTAATGCATACATTTTCTTTGTTTTTAATAATTTTTAAAAGTTTTTTTTTTGATTTTTCTTTTTCTTTTTCCACTTTATTGATTGATCAAATTGAGTGATCACATGTGATTATGTGATCAAAGGGGAGGGTGTTAGTATTAGATAGCAATATGGCCTACGTGCAGGACTCTACAAGGACTCCATGTTTTGACTATGATTTGCACTCTCTCTGTGTGACAAGTATGTGTACGTGTCACACAGAGAGAGTGCAAATATCAAACCTTTGACAAGAGTGGCCCTTTATGTAGCTAGCCTTCCCATATTCCCTTACAGTAATGTTGCAGTGCTTTGCTTGACAGTTTTGTCTGTACATTTTATTTATGAACCCAGACCAAGATAAACCATATGTTGTGGGGTCATATAGTTATAAAATTCTAAACTGCCACAATAACCTGCGGCCACTGCACCTCCTTGTCCCCAAGGGAGAACTTGTGCTGCAGAGAACATAGGGATTAGAATTAGAACTGAGACGTACAGACCCGATGTAGAGGGGAGACCAAAGGGTTTAGGGCAGTAAAATAACAAACTAAATCTCTCACCCGCTCGAGCCAGCAGAGTGCGTGCCGCCAAGTCGAAGCGGTGTTTGCGTCCCGTGGCTCTGCCCCGCTGAGAAGTTCCACTGGAGGCTGAGGCGTTCTCTGGCTCCAGACCCTCCAGACTGACAACAGATTTAAGGTTAAACATGAACAGAGTTTATAAGCATTTCACCACAACTACTAAGAATCAGAATTTGCAGAATCGGCTCTCTCTGGTCTCTCTCTGTGGTCTCCCTCTCTGGTCTCTCTCTCTGGTGAGGGGTTTTACAGCCTTTTGTTGTCGTATCATCTGACCTTCGACCGCGTGTCTCGGACACAAATCAATCAATCAATCAATCAACTTTATTTGTATGCCGCCTTTCCAACACAAGGCCACTCAAAGCGCCTCACAACCCACATAATATCAGACAAATCAGAAACATCAAAATCTACATATACAAACAATAAATACATTAAAAACAGAATAAAATCACAAGTAATGAAAAAACCTTAAAACATTAAAAACACACACGGGATTAAAATAATAAATAACCACAATGCATTAAAAAAGAGTATGTATCAATAAAATCCTTCAGCCGTATGCACAGCTAAAAAGAACAGTTTTTAACCCTGATTTGAAAATTGCTAGAGTAGATGCTAGCCTCACAAAAAGAATACATAATGATCATCCATGTATCAATATCTATGAAAATATGAAATTCTATATTTTATCATGAAATGTTTGCATAAAAAGCCTTTTGCATAATGTTTAGCCTGAGTTTAGTGAATTCAGAGAAGATTCAAGGACAAGGTTGGTTTCTGTGATATAGTATCTTTTAGGAACAGATCGAGCATGCCTCTCTTATCGGGACAAGAAATGAGACCCAAAACCAGACCAGACCTGACTCAAGGGACTGAAAAGGATGCAGAGGGCGCATAAGGAGGCACTTCATACTTTTCTAGACATTTTCATAAAACTGTGGGTAGGACATTTGGAAAAGCAGTCTGTCTTTTCTGTACATTTTCAGGCCTGGAGTGATAGTTACATTGGCTTAGCTCATAGGACTAGTTAAGTAAATAAGAGCTCAGAGAGATATGTATTAATATTTAATTGTAAAGAGAATTAAATGTTGATTGATTTTGAACTCTTGAATGCTTGGTCTTATTTCTGTATCAAATTCTGAGACACATCCGTCGTTTTTTGACAATAAGAACCTATGTTGAAGTTCCACAAAAAATACCAAAAGTGTCTAGTCGGATGCCAATCCATTTCATGAGTATATTGCAGAAAAATGTGTATGTAAAATGGTATCGACAGTTTGTTCTCTTCGCCGTGATTAGCAGTTCTTTTAAACCAGGGGTGTCATTCATACGGCCCGCGGGCCGCAACCGGCCCACCAAGAGATTTGACATGGCCCGCGGCTCATTTATGTAAAATTATAATAATAACAAATGTAAAAAAAACGCGTCGCGTACGCGAGGCTCCGCATCGCCGCAGCGCTGCGCTCAGCAGTGAGTCCAGTGCGTCAGTAGTGGCTCCCACCAGAGCGGTGCTGGGGGAATAACATCTTAAACTACGAGACTCTGCAAAAAATAAGGATCTTTGAGCGGAGAATTGAGAAGACAGAAGATAAACATGTCTGGCCCTGAAGAAACAGCAGTCTGTTTGTGTCCAGAGCGAGAGGTTAGTGCTGCTGCTGTAAAGACAAGCTAAAAACATAGCATCGCAGCCGCACAGTGAGAGAGAGTGTGTGAAAACTCTCATACAGGCTGCAGACTGTGTCCTGAGAAACCACTCGCTTATACCAACATCAGATTCAGATTCAGATTCAGTTTATTTGCCATTTGCAGTAAAAAAACCACATTGGAATACATTAGCAAAAGTCTCCAGTGTGCACAGACAAATACAGACATAAAACAACATTAAAAGACAAAAATAAAACAAATAAAACAGTAAACAAATGTCACTGTGAAATCGATCGACTAAAACAGTTCAAAACAAGTGCAAATCATTAAAGTGCTCTGTTCACACTGATAACAGCTTGTGGATAAAAACTGTTAGCGTAACGAGATGTCCTGCATCTCAGAGAGCGATATCTTCTGCCAGAGGGAAGAAGCTGGAACATGGCTTTCCCAAGGTGGCCAGAAGAGTCATTGACAATCCTATGAGCTTTGTTTAAAAGTCTGGATTTATAAAGAACCTCCAGAACAGGAAGCTCACAGCCCACGGTCCTCTTTGCAGAGCGGAGCACCTTGTTTAAAGATCTCTTTTCTTTATCTGTGATGTTTCCAAACCACACAGACACAGAACCAACAAGTAAACTCTCAATGGTGCATTGATAAAAGTTAAGCAGAATCTTAGAGTTAGTGGTAAATTCTCTAAGTTTACGCAGAAAGTAGAGACGCTGACGAGCTTTCTTAACGACTCGGTCAGTGTTTTTAACCCATTTCAGGTCATTATACAGAGTTAGACCCAGAAACTTGCACTCCTCTACGATCTGCACTCGGGAGTTGTCGATTACGACAGGCAAATAAGAACTATTGCGACTGAAGTCGTAGACCAGTCCACATGTTTTCAATGCGTTCAACTGGAGATTGTTAGTTTTACTCCACTGAACCACATTTTGTATCTCTGCTCTATAAGAGCATTCATCATTGTCACTGATGAGACCGATGATGGTGGTGTCATCAGCATATTTGATGATCAAGTTTGAGTCAGAGGAGGACACACAATCGTGAGTGTACAAAGTGAAGAGCAGAGGACTCAAAATACATCCCTGAGGAGAACCAGTGCTCACAGAAACAACATCAGAAAAACACTCATTGATTTTCACTCTCTGAGATCTGTCATGTTGCCATTGATAAGAGACTGATGTTACTGATGTCGCATATTCATTTGTGGTGTTACTGAAACTACCACAGAGGAGTCCAAAATACAAAAAAAAATGTCAAAACATGTCACTTTTGATTTACTGTAACTTTTTACTGTAAAAAGGTGTGCGACAAATTTCACTGGATTCATGACCTCATGATTGCCCTCTACCACTGTGCTAAAGACCAGAAACTTTTACTGTGGAAATTTGGAGAAATATTGACTTAAAGTAGCCATTTTAGTCCAAAATATGCCACTTTTAATCTACAGTAAAAAGTTACAGTAGTGAGTGAGTGTAAATAAGTGTAAGCGAAGGTAGCGCTAGGGACAAAGGAATGGATAACACGGACATCGCAGTGCAGAGAAAAGTTAAGAAGCGTAAAAGTGACTACCGTGAAATGAAAGATCCCAGCCGTAAAAGTGGACAGAACTGAAAAGTCTGGAGGTGGTTTGACAAGATTATTTTTACAGCTTATTTTTATCAGCTAACACCAGCTAACACGACACTACCCACAACACTGAGAGAGAAGCCTCAACTCTATGTCCCAGCTCCAGATGTTGAGTTTGAGAGAAATGGTGAGTGTCTTCAATCAAATGCAAACATATACTGAACGTGTGTCTGTGGTTCTAAAGTCTAAAACATGATGGTATGTGTCATATCTATATCTTTTACTAAACGTAGTTGGAGTGAAACATGGATTCATGGTTCAATGACAGTTGAGTTTTCTGCTGAATACTGGGTTGAAACTCGGAAAATTGGTTTTAGTTGGAGCTTGATAGAACTAATTTCATGAAACTCGCGCTGGTGTCTTCTCAGTTTGTTTGGACCGTCGCCTTCTCTGAATAAGTCAAAGATCGTAGGGACTGCTGTTTACACTCTTCTTTTGATAACTTTCATTGATGCATCCCAGGGCCATACAAAATACACCCATTTTAAGGTTTATTTGTGTCAAAGCGGCAGCAGGTGCAACAGAAAAGCGGGAGCTGCGACCCCTACAAGTATGTCATCTTTTTTCTGGCCAATCAGAGGCGTTGATATTAAAAAGTTATTTTACTGATTTATGACTTATCTATAACACAAAAACACATTGCAAAGGTGGAAAATACATGTTTTGAATGTGTTTTATCAGAAAAAAACGTTTTTAATAAGGATAGCCCCCTTTTAAATCACATTTGATACAATGAATCTACCTTTGCAATTCAGAAGCAACAATGATTACATTTGTCCACTAGATGTCAGTGTTACAAGCTAGTCTGAGCTAGCGCAAAGCAGAGATGGGGACTCGCGAATCAGACTCGAGTTAGAGACTTATTTTTTGAGACTTGACTGCATGTGAGCCCGCGTCCCCCGCTCGCACGGTGAGTTCTGAGGTAAACAAGAGCTAAAGGTACAGCTTTTGTTGTTACAGTCATTTCACACTTGAGAATAAACTTTTTGTAGAAACCTATGTCATCAATCCAGAATCAGACCCTAATTATTTATTTCACAGTGACACACGGAAGAGTTGGAATGCTTTGCATTGTACTCACAGACCGAGGCTCCCATTAGCATCTTTTCTGTTGGAAATAACACCATGTTTTCAGATCAGCTTTTGAGTAGGTCCCGTTCCAATAGAACTGTAGTTCTGGAACAGTCTTTAGTGGTGTCACCGTCAAAAATTGAGAGTTTTGTCGTGGATTTGAGGCAGATCCCCGTGAATAAAGTCGGTCCACATTCTCCGTCTTCGGGCCAAATACCCTTGTCACACATTTTCTCCAAGTTGACATGAAGCTAACACAAAAAAGCACAGACGCTTAATTACTGTCTATGGACCACACGCTGGACTCATTCACTGATTCAGTTTCTCCCCGCTGTCAACCAGTGACGCTTTTGACGTCACGGATTGTGCCATGTCACAATTTGACGGAACCAATGAAAAAACTACTCTAGGCATGTGTAAGAAGGCCAAATAGCACTGTAATAATGTATAAACCATAGAAAAGTCAAAAAGCGTAATATGGGCCCTTTAAAGCTGTGGTACGTAAATTTTCCCTTGCATTAACAGCTCATTGGTTGGTTGTGCAAATAGTAAAACTGTGAACAAACAAACAGATTTAATGGCAGCCATTGGCTGACATTATGTATTGCAGACTTTTTTTTTCTCATCCCTGTAACAAACAATAGTTTTAGTACTGTGCCCTCACTATAGTGACATGTTTGTTAATCTCTTGTAACATAGACTATTGCACGTTATTTTAATGGTTGAAACGGCATACATGCTCTACAGTATGTGCTTCTGCATAACGTATAAATAACTGTTAAAAATAATGTGACAACAAACCGGACTGGGCCGTTGAGGAGGCAAAAATCCAGGGGCCGTTTTTTGGTCCCAGTCCAGCCGTGGTATGGCCTGCAGGCTGAAATGTTTAAGGCGGGAAAAATGGGCTCTAAAAAACAATACAATAAATTCATATATTTTAGTCCATTTTATATTGTATTGGCCATAACTTGAATGCGTAGGAAATGAGACTTGGACTTGACTTGGAATTGCAGCTCCAGGGACTTGGACTTGACTTGGAATTGCGGGTCAAGGGACTTGGACTTGACTTGGACTTGCGGGTCAGAGACTTCTGTGCATCTCTAGCGCAGAGGCTTCGACATATTTGAAATAGTCTGGCAGGAAAGCCTCAGTGTGTGCTTCATTCGCCCATCACTAATATTGTGATATGTGAGTTCCACCTGCAATTTTTGCAAACTATTGCATTTTCCTTTGCTTTTAGTTTAAAGTGTTTTGGACAACTATTGACGCTTCTTAATTACCCCGTTTTGCTGTTACTCTTGCCTAGTGCTTTCTGCCTCGGCTTCCATTGTGAGCTGTGTCAGCGAAAAAGCAAAGCGAGTATTTAATAGACCTGCCCTGTGTACTGCATTACGTCACAGGTCCTACGTGCCGTAGGACCTGAGAGGTAATTTTGTGCAGCTTTTGACTATGATTAAATAAACAAGACAAACCAATACGAAGCTTTGAGGCAGTGGAAATTACTCAAATAGTAATTGTACTAGAATTTCTAGAATTACTCGAGGAATCATTTCAGCTTTACAAACCAGAGACCACTGTAGTCTAAAGATGCACGCACAACTACATTCAGCATTATTATTCTGAAGTGGAAAAGTGCGGTCACCTCTCGCTGAACCCCTCCTCCATGTCCTCTGTGGTTGAGATGTCCGTGGGGCAGCAGAGGTAGGGGCTCCGGTCCTGAGACTTGCCCCCAGACGATGCCCCTGGGTACGAGGGGTCGGACTCTCCCCCCAAACTGCTGGGTCTGGGCTCCTCCTCTCCTGGGTGCTCAATCATCCACATGGCCAACACAGTTATGTTCTGAGCATCTGCTTCTCCACGAGCTCCTGAAACAGACAGCATGAGAACATCCAAAAATTTCAAGAAGAAATATTAATAATTATTTTAGGCCATTATTAATGATGATGAGATGGTATACTTTTTTTTACATTGTGAAATAATATTGCAGCGGCTGTGATCCTATGTTGTTGGAGAATTAGAGGACAACGGGCCCTGTACCTATCAGTGGGGGAGGGTCCCAGCTCAAAAGTGGCCAAAATGACGTGCGCTGACATGCTTGCAATACCACCCCGGGCCGATGGGGGTGGACCCAGAAGAAGAATTAGCCAATGCTAACATATAGCGTTGGCAGACCTCTCAAAAACGTCTTTACAGGATGGACCAAAAGTTGGCTCTTGGCCCAAAGCTCCGTTCCACATGTGTGTCAATGCTGAGGGGGGTGAATTTTTTTGGTCCACTCTAATTTACTCGCTGTGAATTTTTGAAGTCTCTTGTTCAAATGAATGGAGCATGCGCAGATGCGTTTTTTCACAATTTTCTTGTGGGCGGGACCACTCGCGGCCATCTTGGATTGCTCCATGAAAGCACTTTTCATGGCCAACTCCTATGAACGGCGGAGATAGGCGTGACTCTGTCCGTTATTATATACAGTCTATAGTACCTATCTATCTTTTCAACACGTAAGGGAGGACCGGAAGATGCTCCCTGTCCTGATGGGACGGCAGCTGCAGGCTATTCCTACGACAGCTGGGGCCGGTGGAACCTGTTTTTCCTGTCGCCTCTGTCTATTGAAGATTTGGAAGACGTCTATATCTTTGGATTTCTGGTAGTTGGAATTCTCCTTTTAGAGCTCGGAGCTTTCCAGTTTTACCGCAAAGTTGGAGGGATGGCAGCTTACAAAATCTATGAGAAGCTTTTTTTTTTGTTTTTTTTTAAATCTATGAGACGCTGTCCCACGAAATTGGAGAGAGGTACAAGGAGCTGACCCGTGTGGTGGTTGAGAGCAATGGAGAGTGTTACAGGTCGATCATTTGCTTAAAGATCTTGCGATGCAATCTTTGGATGAACATAAAACTATAGAGTAAAAGCTGAATGATATTGTGTGTCATGGCTGAACTCTCTGACCCTACATGGAAAGGCCCTGTGTACGGAGGGTACCAGCAATTCGGTTCAATTGGATCTATAGTATATTTGCCGGTGTTTTGATCTGCTTATACACATTTTTTTGGCAGATGTTTTTCTCCTGTGTCTGTGGCTCCTCTCCTAATCTTTCCACATTCCATTGGCCAAGGCCGAAGTTTGATAACTGGACTCTTGTTCAACAACAAGCCCCACAGACTCACAGTATGCCCAGCCCGCCCCCCCCCCCCCCTGACAGCCCACATTGGGCAGGGCTGTCGGAAGTTATATCCTAAAGAAATATGTCCGTGTTTTAACCAAAACATACTGTGTCTATCCAAACTGTCTTGTGAAATGTATAGGCCGCGTGCTAGAATAATATTAACTTCCGTTCCAGCGTCATGGGTGATAGTGCTTTTCAACGTTTTCTGAAAGCTTATAACAATTTGAACACAATCTGAAGTTTCCACACAAAGAATCCTTGTCGTATTTTTGCTAGCGCCAACTGAAAATTCTAGGTGAACTCGCACCCATATCGGTGTGGAGGGAGAGGCAAATGCCCAAAAATAACAATTGTAAAGCTCTTTGTGACTCTGGTCTGAGGCGCTATATAAACAATAACTTACAAAATATATAACAATCCCTTACTTACTTACGTAACTGATCGGCAGAGGGTTTACTCTTTATAGGTAAAGTTTGTAAAAAGGATTATCATAATCGTCATTTATCAATCAATGAATGCAACATGATATGCAATGAACAATAACTGACTGCATGGCATGGTCAGCATGGTCAGCATGGGCGTGGCATGGTCAGCATGGTCAGTCAGTCAATGATTATTATGGTACTGAATAATTGGGTATAATAATCTTTAATGTATAGTCATTGTTGTCATCAATGGCATAGCCAGAAACTTTTTAGAGGGGTGCGCCTGCAAAGGCATTTTAGGGTAATTAAAATTGACAAAAATATTTTTTATTTTGGATTTGGATTTCTCACGAGGTAGGCCTAAGGCACGACGTTGGATGGCGATATGGTAGCTAGGCTACGCCACAGACAAAGTATTTTTCTAGCTCCTCCAAAGTGATGGGGCCGTATCCAGTACACTGGAACCTATTTGCGTCGCTGTTTATAGCATTTCTCTATACATTTTCAAATTTCTTACTGTTTAAATCTGTTTATAAACTACCTGCTTGATTGCTTGACCGGTACCTGTGCTCACAGAGGACCTGGAGTTACCAACCGGTATTCCAGTTCATTCGTGTGTCTGAGGAGAATGAACTGGAATACCGGTCGGTTATTATGTCGACTGGAGTGAGCACAACCACTTGTGCTGTAACACCAGTAAGACCAAGGAGATGGTAACTGTGCTAACACCAGTAAGACCAAGGAGATGGTACCTGTGCTAACACCAGTAAGACCAAGGACATGGTAATCGACTTCAGGAGAAAACCACTTTCCCACATGCTGCTGAACATCCAGGGGGAGGACATTTAGCTGGAGGACAGCTTCAAGTACCTGGGTGTTCACATTAACAATAAACTGGACTGGTCCCACAACACCAACGCCCTGTACAAGACGGGCCAAAGCCACCTATTCCTTCTGAGGAGGCTGCGGTCCTTCTAAGGAGGCTGCCGTCCTCGGCCCATTAGCTCCAAACTCTAAGACTGTGGTTAAGAATGTTGGTGTTCTAATGGACAGCTCCTTTAAGCTGGACAAACAAATCACTTATGTTGTGAAAACCAGCTATTTTCAACTGCGGGTCCTTAGCGAAATGAAAGCTTATCTTCACTTTGATAAGTTTGAGCGTGTTGTGCACATGTTCATATCGTCCCGTCTCGACTATTGCAATTCTTTGTACAGTGGTCTAGACCAGTCATCTCTTAACCGTTTGCAGCTCGTGCAAAATTTGGCTGCTCGTTTGCTGACAGGGACCAGGTGTAATTCAAAGCATGGAGTCCTGCCGAGAACACTCTGGCCCCTGAAAATCTACATGAGGTACCAATAACAACAGTTGAGGTACTGGAGAAGACCATCAGCCAGTTTTTAAGGAAATTACTGGGTCTCTCTCGGTCCTTGAGCAGCATTGCCAGGGTTCGGTACTCGGACCGATTCTTTTTACTCTCTACATGCTGCCACTGGGAAACATTATTAAAAAGCATGGAATTAATTTCCACTGCTATGCAGATGACACACAGCTTTATCTGTCGATGAAGCCTAATCAGACAGATCAGCTAGAAAAGCTCAGTGCCTGCATAAAGGACCTTAAAATGTGGATGACTCTTAACTTCCTACTTCTCAACCCGGAGAAGACAGAAGTGATCCTACTCGGTCCGAAGCGCCTGCGTGACTCCCTCACTAACCAGATGGTTACTCTCGATAATGTCAGTATAATACCCAGTAACACTGTGAGGAATCTTGGAGTCATTTTTGACCAAGAACTCTCCTTCAAGGCTTATATAAGCCAAGCAACTAAAACGGCGTACTTCCACTTACGGAACATCGCTAAAATTAGGAATTTCCTTCCTAAAAGTGACGCGGAAAAACTCATTCACGCGTTTGTCACCTCAAGGCTCGACTACTGTAACGCTTTACTGGCAGCGTGCCCTAAAGCCTCCTTGAAGAGCTTCCAGCTCGTTCAGAATACAGCAGCTAGGATCTTAACAGGTACCAAAAGGAGGGAGCACATAACTCCGGTGTTAAAATCACTCCACTGGCTCCCTGTGGAGTACAGAATAAAGTTTAAAATCCTACTCTTAACATATAAAGCCATAAATGGCTTGGCTCCTTCTTATCTCCAAGACACGTTAGTGTCGTATCAACCAGGTCGAGCGTTGCGCTCACAAAACGCCAGACGTCTGGTGGTCCCTAAGGTCTCAAAGGTCACTGTTGGTGGCAGAGCATTTAGCTACCAAGCTCCTTTACTGTGGAATCAGCTTCCCATTTATGTTAAGGAAGCAGATACAGTCTCCACATTCAAGGCCAGGCTTAAAGCACTTTACTTTAATTTAGCATATAATTAGGTAATATATAATATGTAGTGTATATATTATATATATATGCTGTATTATGTTATATATTATGTTATATATTATTCAATAATGTATTGTGTTATGTTGTATATTATGTTATATATTATGCTGTATGTTATTCTTTATTCAAGGCTAGGTTTAAAACAGTCCTCTTTAGTTTAGCATATGGCTAGGAAGGTAAGACTCGGAGAAGGTTAAACTCCTCAGAGTGTTAGTCAAGCTGCATAGGGAGTCAGTTTGCTGGGAGAAGTATGGTAACTTGAGCACTATCCTCTCCTCCTTCCTACTTTATCTGTTTAGCATTTTTAGGATTCTGACTGTAGTTTGTTCATTGCTATTCACCCGTTGTCCCATTGTCTGTTTCATGGTACGATGACGGGATCTCTGAGCCTGGCCTCTTCCATCTACACCTGCGGACTGCCCCGCCCGACCCGCCTGGGAGTGCTTCAGTCCTGCACCGGACCTGTCCACGTTCAGCGTCCACTGGTCCACGTTCTGTAGCTAGCTTAGGTCCTAGATCATTAGCCTGTCCGTCCGGAGGAGCGGATCCCTTTCTCATATGGGTCTCCCTCCCTGTGGGTTTCCCTAGTTCTCCTCCAAGGTTTCTCACTTTTTCCCACTGGGTTTTTTAAGAGTTTTTCCTTGTCGATGCAGGAGGGTCTTGTTGGACAGTTAGTGTCCAACAGAAAGGATTGGTGATGATCAGGACACTTTAGCATTCTACAACATGTATGGACATTTTCTTCTGTGTGTGCTTTATATTCTTCATGTGTTTTAACTGTTGATTCTCTGACCTGTGTTGGTGATTTCAATGGTTTTGTTAAGTCCTCTGAGATGACTTCTGTTGTGACCTAGGGCTATACAAGAATAAATTGTATTGTATTGTGTATTGTATG